CGGTGAGAGGCGCTGCAGGGGACGCGGGGGAAGTGGCGGTGCCGGCATCGCACAGCTGGGACTGCGCCCAGGGCCGGAGCCCGCGCCCTTGGAGGTAGGAGAGCGCGATCGCGGACACCGGGGAGACGGGGGCGGGGGGCCTGGAAACCCATCCAGCGACACCACCCTGTTCCCGCCCTCCTCGGTCCGCCTCCGTCCCGACCTGTCCCCATCTCCCTCCATCCACAAACCCATTCCTTCTCCTCTGCACGTTGCCACCTGCCTCGAATCCGACCTGTTCTGTCCTACCGCCACCCCGTCCCCCATCCGCTCCCAGCCCCTTGCCCATCCCAACACCCTTTCCAGCTCGCCGGCCGCATCCCCTCCCCCTTCCTGCATCCTCGCACTGTTCGCCTTCCGTCTTCGTCCCTCTGCATCCCTAGCCCTGCCTGCCTTGTACTTCTTTCCCCCCCACACCCAGCTAGGTATTGCCTGCCCTGTTTCTCCTGCCCGCAGCGGCAGCCCCTTCTCTTTGCCTCCTGCTCTCCTCCGTGTGCCTGCCCACCTCTCCTCAGCTCCCTCCCTGCTGCTGTTCTCCCCCAGCGTCCCTCCGCACACCCTGTCCCAGCTCCTTCCCAGCTGCCTCCTGGTTTTCTCCTGCATCATAGCCCCTCGCCAGAACCTGGTCGTCTCCCCCTTAGCAGACGCGCAGGGCAGGCCAGCTCCCAGCTATCACCTTCCCCACCGGTCCAAGGTGCTCTTGTGGCCAGCAGCTTGTCCTCAGGCCACTCACTTGCCCTGAGGGCCTTCTTTCCTGCTCAGGGACGCCTAGGCAGTGTTGGAATCCACTTCTAACCCTGTTCTGCACGTGTGAGCGTATTTGTGGTTTGGGGGCAAGGATGCTGGGGGTTAGCAGCCTCCTACGTCCCTCCGGCTGCTCCTGCCCTAGCCGATCAGGCTTTTCCCTGGACAGATGGGGTAGGGTGCTAAAGCACAGGGAGCCTGGGACAGGCTGAAGGAATGGTTGAGTGGGCTCACCCTGGCTCCTGCTCTGAGTCCTAGGGTGCCAAGGCCTGGATAAGGAGCTGGGCTGGAGGGTTGGAGAAGCTGGGATTTTAACAAAGATTCTTCCTCAGTCTCCGAGTCAGCACTTTGGCTGCGGGAGCTGTCATGAGTGGGCCCATGGGCCTGGCTGAGGGGCAGAGTGCTGAATCACCTAGACTGGACCCGTGGCATCCCCCCTCCCAGCCCGAGCCAGGTTCTGCTCCGAATTCCTTCCTCAGCATTTGGCATGGGCTGTGTGTGTGTGTGTGTTGAGATGCCGCCTCCCTCCTGCAGTCTGGAGGGGTAGACATCCATGCCCTTCTCTGCCCGTCTGTCTTCCTGGCATGAGGGCCTGGTGTGTCTTATCTACCCTTGGAACTGAGGTCTGCTGGGCCTCAATCGATCTCTGGCAAGACCAGGCCAGGCCACAGGGCTTAGAGGCCTGCTTGGGCAGGAGTTGCTTGTATGGGACCAGAGACAGGTTCAGATCCCAGGAAACTTGAATCATGAGTAGGAGGAGCCCAGGGGATAAGTGTGAGCAGCCTGGAAGCCCCCAGGACAGAGGCCATATCAACTGGGGAGGGGCCGGGACAGGGAGCAGGACCTCTGGTTTGGGGCCGACTGGAGCTGGTGGGATTGCGTTAAGGAGATTCAGGGTCTGCTGCCCGTTTTGGACGTCCTGCCTTTTGTCTTGACCCAGCTGGGACTTCTGAGGGAGTCATTCCTCCATCCCACCCCACCCCCCCTCTGGTTTAGTTGAAGGCATGTGCTCTTGTGCACTCTCGTGTGTGTAGAGGGAATGACACAATGGGGAGAGAGTCTCACTCACACTTAACTCCAGAAATTGTGTGTGGAACTGGGAAGGGCAGTCCGACTCCTATCTAAGCGGCCTCCGTTGAAACCCAGAGGTTAAACTGAGAGGTTAAGAGCAAATGGCAGATAGATCCTGTCCCTTTCCGGCCAGCTCCCTCTGCTCCTATGCTGACACTGCATGGGCCTCAGGCAGTGCCCTAGGAGGCCAGGGGACATACAGCCAAGGGACTGGCAGCCCCGCTTTGTCACCGTCTCTGTCCCCTCCCCATCAGGAGAGGGCGTGGGGTGGGAAGGTTCTCATGGCATCCGCGCCGCCTGGGGCTGCCAGGTTTTCCTGGTACTGAGAGAAGCATCACCTGCCTCTGTTGTCAGGAGCTGATTGGATTAAGATTCTGACGTTGAAATGCTTGATTGGGGCTCAGGTTAAGTGGGGGATTCTGGCCACAACGTACATAATTCCTAGTTCTGTGCATTGAACCTCACCCTCTCACCCCCTCGTTTGGCATCACAAAGGCTGTGGAGAGAGAAACCGAGGCACACAGAGGGGAGCCAGGTCCTGCAAGGGCTGGACCAAGCCCTGCCGATGCCTGGCTGGCTCCCTGTGGGCTGAGCCGGCTCTGTTTACAAGGGCTGGTTCTTCCAGGGATACCCTGAGGGGGTGGCTGAGATCTGGGGGCCGGGTTCTGGCTTTGGATTTCCAAGGCGGGTGGGCCAGAGGAGGCTCCTGTTTCTACAGTGACTGAAGGACAGGCTCCAAACTCTGATCACTTTATGCAACTTGTTCCCTGTCTCCAGAGCCACTCTCCTTCCTTGGGCTCGCCTTGGGACAGGGGCACACTGGGATCTTTGAGACCATCCAGAAGGTGGGGTGCGGAAACCAGCAGTTAGCGTAATGGCTATGTTGCTGGACTCCCACGTAGTCGACCACGGTTTGCGTCCCAGACCCGGTGGCTTAAAACTCACGCCGGACGCGTGTGCGTGCGTGCCCAAGATCCTGAGGGGAGAATGGAGGAGAAGGGATTGCAGCGTGACCATTCCCCCTGGGGGGTGATTTCTCGCTTTCTGTCTCTCGTCTCTCTCTGTCTCTCTGGCGAGTGCCCGCGCCCTATAACGAAAACCTCTCCAAAAAAAAAAAAAGAAGGTGGGGTGTGAAGGCAGTCCCTGTCTTTAGAAAAATGTTTCAGTAATCAGAAAGGAAGAGGCAGTCTGGCTAGGGTGGTGCTGGGGGATGTGGGAGGGGAGAAAGGAGAAGCACTAAAGACTGGTTAAGGAGTATTCATTAAGCCCTAGAGTATGCAGCTCTGCTTGGTGCTGAGATCATAGAGTTGAAAAGGAAGACAGGGTCTGAGCCCTCAGAACCCCAGTGTGAAGGAAGAGAGACAGGTAATCAAAGAACACAGATACGCTGAGCTGAGACCATCAGGACTGGGCTGTTGGGTAGCGGGGTCTTGCACCCCAGTGTTGCCAGCACCCTCTCCTCCACAGCTGTGAGGGCAGCTTGCTTGATGGTGTCCAGCGTGGGCTCACAGGGTTGCCCTGAAGTTGAGTGTCAGGAAAAGGGGGGAGAGATGGTGAGGCGCAAGGTGACGTTAGATCCCCAGCTTGAGGGGCAAGAGAGGGCACGGTCTGTGTGTGACTGTGCCCTGTTCTCTGTTGCCACCGCCTCATGTGGGGATATCCATAGGGATCTCTGGACAAGCCTACTTCTCTCCCAACCCCATCTCCCAAGCGCTTGCATGTTAGGATCAAAGTGTGGTTTGGCTATGCTTAGAATGTCAGATGAGAGACCAGCAGGTACTGTGGTGGTTAAGGTGCTGCATCCCACATGGCTAACTCCATGGTTTCAGTCCTGGCCCTGTGGCTGGAAAATCACACTGGGTGCATGTGCGTGCATGCCCAAAATCCTGAAAGGAGAATGGAGGAGAAGAGATTGTGGCATGGCCATCCCCCTTGGGGATGATTTCTCACTTTCCCTTTCTCTATCTCTTCAGCAAGTACATGCACCCTAAAGCAAAAAAACCCAAAAAAAACAAAAAAACACAAAAAACTGAATAATAAATAAATGAAAGAATGTCAGCTGACTCAGAGCAAAGAGGCCCTGTCTACACTCAGAGAGCTCGTGATCTGTTGGGGAAGTAGCCAGTACACACACAGGACATGCTCAGAGGCAAGGGGAGGAAAAGCACGTGAGCTCTGATATGTGTGGGAGGACCTTGAGGTTATGGGGAGGTCGGAATTAGGTGGGAGTCACTGGAGAGGCTGAGCAGGAGGCATGAGGTTGGTGGTGAGCAGGAGAGATCTTTAAAGTTACATACATGAGCACAGGTTGCTGTGAACGTCCATAGCTGAAAAAGAGTGTAAGGACAGAGGCTCCGGTCTCCTCTGGGTGAGTAGCCCCTCTGTTTCCCAGACAACCAGTTGCTTTCATTTCGCTCGTGTGTCCTGAACTTTGAACCTGTGTGAGCAGCTGTTGTAGGCATTCTAAGCTGAGGGCACGTAGACTGAGTTGGAGAGACAGGTACGGTGGGTTCCTGGCACTGTAGGAGCAGGCTGAGGGGTCGCAGTGATCAGCTGTCTAGAGTGATCATACCAGGCTGTTTGGCAGCCCCCCTGCCTTGGCTAGAGCAGCTTTGAGCATTTACTCAAAGGAAGGCGTGTGGAAGGCCCAGGCCTAGCTGCCAGGGCAGATGTGGGCTGCATGTGGCCTGGCCCTGGGCCGCAGGGAGGCTCTGGGAGCTGGGCTGTGCTGGATGCTTGAGCAGGCACTTCCTTTGCTTTGCTGACCCAGGGCATTGATCAGATTGTGCCAGTCAGCTCGAGAACCCTCCAGCCACCCTCTTGTCATTTGGTCCTGAAGCACGCGAGGAAGACTAAAAGTAACAATAGCAACGGTCACCATTAGTGAGTGTGTACTGTGTGCTGGGTACCCTGTATGCTCATAGCGTCCTGGCATTGAGTCTTCAGAAGGGACACCCCTGCCAAAGAGGTTCGTTAGAATCATGGTTTTAATTTTTTTTTTAGAATTATTTAACTTTATTTATTTATTTATTTAAATTTGACCAGAGAGGGGCAGAGAGAGAGAGAGAGAGAGAGAGAAAGAGAGAGAGAGAAAGCAAGCCACCAGGTCCAGGACTTAAACATTGACCTGAACCCATGTGGGAGTACAGCACCCTTAGCAACCACGCCACCCCAGGATCGTTGTTTTACAAGTCTCACAGAGGTTGTCACTTGTTTAAGATCACACAGCAGGTGAGTTGC